ATGTGAGTGAGACACATGGCTTGGTTGCCTCCTGTACCCACTCCGGAGGTTGAACCCAAAACCCAGGTATGTGCCCTGACCAGAATCAAACCTGTGACCTTCTAGTACACAGGATGACGCCCCAACCAACTGAGCCACACAGGCTAGGGCTCTACTTTCTTCTCTTAAGTGACACTTTTAAATGTAGATTCAGAATGACACATAACTCCTACATCTTTGCTTTAACATTAATGTGGTGTGAGTAATGTTGCCTGCGTCTGCATTGTATTGCATGAATAAGCTCACTAGACACAGTACTGCAAATACACTGTCATAGCTTTGCTACCTAATTTGGAAAGATTAAAACTATTTTTCTTTCTGTAGGGGGTGATATTTTGCTGTGTGGTTGGCAGCTATGGGAGATAGCGCACGTCCCTTTCTGCAGTTTGTACCCATCCATGTGTTCTGTCCTGAGAGTGAGACCATGTCCCAGAATCTGTCCTTTTACCACATGCAGGGACCTGCTTCATCTCTGCTTGCACATCTCCCCTCCAGGTCTTTGAAAGGGAGCTTTTGTCTGCTTCCTCAGCAGGACCAGGGCCTGCTCCACTGCAGTCAGCGCTTCCTCCCCAGAATGCGATCAGAGCAGCTGCCTGGCCAAACAGCACCAGGGCTCTCTCCCCACCCCTCCTCCCTCCCCCTCCCCTCCTCCCTCTTCCCAGGGACTCATAATATAATGGCCTCTGGGGAGTATCCTTTCCAGACCTACAGTCTAATTTTAGTTTTCTTTCTTGGTCCCTAAAGGAAACTGAAAGCCAGCACACAATGCCACAGTGATATCAAACAGCTAAATAGATGGCCCTGAAAAACGAATCAGACACTTGCTTCCTTCATAGAAGTCACATTAGTCATCACTGGTGCTCTGCAACAATCTTATCCATCAACAATCGAGTCTAAAAAACAAAGTAAACGAACAAGCAGAACAGACACGGACTCACAGACACAGAGGACATTTTCAGGGTTGTCAGATGGGAAGGGGTTTGGGGGCGATGGGCGAAAAAGGTGAAGGGATTAAGAAGTGCAAATTGGTTGCTACAGAATAGTCAAGGGGATGTAAAGTGCAGCATGAGGAATGTGGTCCACAATACAGTGGGGCCTTGACTTACGAGTTTAATTTGTTCGGAGACTGAGCTCCTTGAGACCGAGCTCGTTAAGGAGCTCATTAACTCAAATTACTCTGTCAACTCAATGCAAAAAATCGGGGGAGAGACAGCTGGTATGTCAAAAAACTCGTTAGTCGGGACACTCGTAAGTCAAGGCCCCACTGTATTCTAATAATTATGTGCGGTGTCAGATGGGGATGAGATTTACCCAGATGATCACTTAGCAAGTTATAGAATGTGTCATCTCTGGGGTGTACACCTGATATTGTATGCCAACTATAATTTAAAAACAAAAATGATTTAAAAAAGAATTAACAAGAAAAGGTACAAGCCAAGACTGCTATTCTAACGGGTAGTTTCTCTCCTTTCAAAGTTTAAGTATTTCCCCTGCAACGAATTCACTCTCAGAAGTTTCCTCTGGTCTTAGTAAGACTAATGATTTGCGCTGTTAAATAGGAATGTTCATATTTCATGGACCTTTCTGCATAAGTGTTTTTCCAGTTGTCTTTTATACAGTTGTTGTGATTCATGTATATTTGTGTTAGAGAATAAAGTTCAAACTCATCTTCACTGTTTGGAAACAGTGATAATACATATTTTCCCCTCAACTAAAAAATGGGCACTTCAACAGACTCTTCTTTAGTTCCCATGGAACTGTTGTGTTTATTTTAAAAATACAGGATCATTTGAGCTTTCATAAGTGTCCCTTTTGTGTTCTATGAATGCTTTTGAATGAAAAAGAATAGCTATAATTTTCCTGTCCTGATATACTTCTTTTCTCATTCAGGGATTTTAATCTAAATGTAAAATAATGAGACCTAACGCCAATAAGTCATTGAATAAAGCTTGCAGTTAATTACTAGAAAACAAAGCAGCTTGCAATGTTTTCACCTCCAAGTCAAATAGCGTGGTGCATATTTTAAATATGATTTATTTTCAACCTCCTGTCAACCTTGTTTAATCTTCCTGTAGCTCTGCTTTCAGTCTCCAGAGACTGGAAATCTTTTTAAAGAGATTTATTAACTGGTCCCTTTAGCTCCTCTTATGTCCGCTTGTCTAGTGCTGCCCTCTGCTGACTATTTCTTGAATTACATTCCATAGATGTTTATTTTGCCTGAGCCGGGAGGAAAATAAAAGAACAATTTTTAAAGTGTATACCTGAGAGTTGGTTTTATCTATATCTTTATTTTCAGCGGGAAAATAAAATCTGAATTCCAGAATGTATTTTATTCTAGAACACTCCAGGGGATAGAAATATTCCTCCTGATTCAGGCATTCAGGTATGCGTACCTCCTATCAACCAGCTGCCTAGGTCTGGTTCCTGGTGGGGCTGAGGAGGTGGCAGAGAGGAATTTGGCCCTTCAGACAAAGACTTTCCTTATGGCATGCTCCCTTTTCTTGTTCCTTTTAGAAAATAACCTTTCCTCTCTAGGTACCAGTCTTACTGGGAGGCCTCTGAACCCTTCTCTCTGGCTCTCAGGCTGAAGTCAGAATTGCTTCTTGGAGGTAACAGGCCAACGCTCTCTCACACCCCTGGTAGCTTCCCTGTAGTGCTTACAGAGAGAGAGAGAGGAGAGAGAGAGAGAGAGAGAGAGAGAGAGAGAGAGAGAGAGAGAGGAAAAGGGGGAGGTGAGTCAGCTTTTACTGACTTCCATTCCCATCAGTGAGTCCTGGGGCTGCAGTCTTCCTCACAGCCCATCTGATCAGCATGACACGCTGCAGGATAGAGATTTGAGTGAACGAGAAAGAGTATTTGGTGTGTGGCGGCTGCCTCGGACTTGAGAGAGCTCTAATTTGGTGTCAGCATGAAGCGCTCTGGGGGGAGGACTGGGAGAAGGCAGAAAAGTATATTGACTCTGCACCGATGTGCAAGATGCTGTTATATAATAGACATGACTTATTCTCATAATAACCCTGTTGGGAGCTGAATTGTTGTTCCTACTTAAAGAGGGAGGAACTATGGCCTAGAAAGGTTTAATAACTTCACAAGGACACCCAGGGTAAATGGGCTGAAATCTAGGTGGGCCTGACTGCATGGCCCAGGATCCTGCTAGAACATCATGAGCTTGTGGGATTAGAGTACAAGGACCTCCCCCTGCCAGCATGGCTCGGTGGTTGAGCATTGACCTATGAACTGACAGGTCACGGTTCGATTCCCGGTCAGGGCACATGTGGTGTGTGTGTGTGTGTGTGTGTGTATGTGTAGGCTTGCTCCCCAGTATGGGACATACATGAGGCAGCCAATCAATGATTCTCTCTCATCACTGATGTTTCTATCTCTCTCTCCCTCTTCCTTCCTCTCTGAAATCAATATATGTATATAAGAGTGCAAGGACCAGATTACTGGTTTGGGGTGGAAGGGGCATTGTTGGTTCAGTGATTGACTGAATTAATTCTGGATGGTGCTATGGACTCAGTGCATGGGTGCTTTCCTGAATGATGCTGCTCTGCCTGAGAATTCAGGCTAGAGGTGGGGCAGGAAGGGGCAGTGGGGGACGGCGCCACCGTGCTGGGTCTCAGCACACCTGAGGACTCTGGAAGACCCTAGGCTGGCACGGCAGGTTTTTACCCGTAATAGAAAAGATAGACACGTAAGGAATATCTCAAGCAGAACAGAACAGCACAGAACAGAGCAGAACGGAGCAGAATAGAACATCACTAATACTTTACTGGAAATTGCTTGTCTCCTTTTTGGTTTGCCTAAGAGAGGCATTATGGACAATTCTGGGAAGCAGAAAGCACAGGGAGGACATACTATCCTGAAAGTGGACTATATCCTTTTGCAGAGGAAGAGAGGGGAGTAGCAAGGTGGGGTAGGGGCTTTAACTGTATATGTAAATTTTATTCTTTAAAAAATATATTTGTATTGATTTCAGTGAGGAAGGGAGAGGGCCAGAGAGATAGAAACATCAATGATGAGAGAGAATCATTGATTGGCTGCCTCCCCCTCCCTCAGCCCCCACTGGGGATCAAGCCTGCAACCTGGGCATGTGTCCTTGACTAGAATCGAACCCGGGACCCTTTAGTCCATAGGCCAACACTCTATCCATTGAGCTAAACCAGCTAGGGCGTAAATTTTATTCTTTAAAAAATATAGAAATAGCTGAAGATACTTGTTAAATCTGCATGATGAGTCTATAAATGCCAGGTATAATGTTTTTCATAGTTTCCTATTTGAAATAGTTCATAGTTAAACATGAAAACAGTACAACAGGGACACAGTGTGAGGAAAGCCCCTCACGAGGGCTGTCAAGCTTCAAAGCGGGTCAGGGGTCACACCTCACTTCACAAACTGGGCAGCACTGAAAGGTTTTCTCAATCAGAAGCAGCACACAACCTGTACGTAGCCCATGAAGCTCATCCTTCATGGGGTGTTATTGCCTCCAAGGTATCTTTCATGTGTGAGATTACAAACTCCTACAGCAACCAGAGGTGTATGCAAAATATTCTTTTCCATAAACAGCCAGAGGGCGGAAATAAGATTAAAGTCATACAAACTTATGGAGTAACAAAGAGTCTTTCATGAAAACCATGAAATTTAGTTGGAAGAGTTCCACAGCCTCAGACAGGCCTTTCATGGTTTGAAAACGATATATTCTGGGAAAGGAAATATAACAGGGCCACAGTCAACATTTCTTCCATCCTTCCTATGACTTAAAGCACATTTTTATACATGATCTCCATTGAGGATCACAACTGCTCTGAGGAGGAACAGAAACAAAGAAGGGAAATGATTCACTCACCTACAGAACCACAGCCTCCCCCAGGTCCCACACAGCCCCTCCGGAGGTTCCTTCCCACTGTGTCCCCCCGTGCCTGCCTCGGCCCCTATCCCATGGCTTCTGGGAGCTGGCATACCTGCTCATGAGACCATGTCCTTTCAGAGCCATCCTTGACACAGATGTCCAGCCTGAGCTCGGTTCCCGTGGCTCCATGCTTGCTGTCCACACAGAGATTGGCTGCCACGTTTCGAATCTGTGGAAAGAAGGAGGAGTGAGCATGAGGCCCTTTTTTATTTTACCTCTAGCTCTGTGTTATCTATGACAATTCTGGCACAGACTCAGCAGTTGGTGTGTGTGTGTGTGTGTGTGTGTGTGTGTGTGTGTGTGAGAGAGAGAGAGAGAGAGAGAGAGAGAGAGAGAGAGAGATATTGAGATTTCATGATTATTGAATGATGCTTTAAATTTATGTGCAATTTATGGAGAAAACAGGGAAGTAAAAATAACATGGTCCAGTCTACATGTAAAATGACATGAGAAGGTTGAAGAGCAAGCTGTGGCTGACTCCAGCAAAAGAATGTGTGACATGCCACACAGGGAGCACTGTAGAGTTCATGACTTTTCTAAAATGGGAGATATTTCTTCTTCAGGAGGTTAGGAATTCAGTGAGGAATCTGTTATCTTTTTGCTCAAAAGCATCTTCTACCATTTGCACCCTAGCTGGGGGTGAGATCCCCAGTGAGGCAGGTGATGCAGGTAAAGTGTGAGGTGAAAGAGAGTGAATCACTGAGCACTGTATGGTTCTGGGCAGGACAATGTGACCTTGACATTGTAGTTTGCCTGGGGTGGTCTTGGTCTATACCTATACCTGGCTGACAAATGTAACCTGTCACCCGACAGCATTAGCAAAGTAGCAAAGAGCATTATTGGTGCAATACTATACTGGACAAAGATTCTCTACGTAAAGTCTGACCTGTGACAAGTTGCAGAATAAAAAAAAGACTGATAACTGATAGTTCTTTACAATTATTATATTGACACTGATAGAAGGAACTGAATTGTTAGTGGTGGGAAAAGGGCGGACTATGAAAAGTCTCAAAAGCAGAAACAGGATCAGAGAGTTTGGACACAGACACATCCCTTTGTCCAATCTTCCTGCCTGAAGATCTCACCAGTTCTGTTCCCAGCAGAACCACATCCTGGAGTCACAGAGTTGGATATTGTTTATAGTTGTTATTTAGGTATGTAGGCGTGGATAAGCTCAAATAGCTGAGTCCTTTTTATGCCTTTGTATAGTCCTGGGTTAAAATAATCCCTTTAGATGCTGTGAAGAATAGGAAGAGGAACAGGATGTACTCCGCTGATCAGCTTAGTCAAGGTTCTTTTGCCCAGAATGAGTAGAGAAGGTAAGGACTGTGCCCACGACCGAAGATGCCTGCCCTGGGCCTATTCTACTTGGGTGGGGCAGTGAGGCAGAGAAAAGGTTGTAAGGAAATACACTGGGTGACATGAGAGGAATAAATGATGCTGGATGAGGTGGTGGTGGAGTGGGCTATTTCACACCTCACTTGCTTTAGGAGTGGAGGTTGGTGTGATGTCATTCAGGAGGGAGTCAGTCTGGTGGGTACCAGTTTCCTTATTCAGGGAATTTGGCCACAGCTTGGGTTCATCTTACACTAGTGGAGCTCTACTTTCTGGGTCTCTGTCCCCGATAAAAGGGAATGTGAAATAATGTAGGGGCAACGGTTCTTTTTTTTAAAATGTATTTTTATTGATTTCAGAGTGGAAGGGAGAAGGAGAAAGAGAAACATCAATGATGAGAGAGAATCATCAACTGGCTGCCTCCTGCACGCCCCCTTCTGGGGATCAAGCCCGCAACCTGAGCATGTGCCCTGGACCGGAATCAAACCCGGGACCTTTCAGTCCGTAGGCTGACGCTCTATCCACTGAGCCAAACCGGCTAGGGCAGGGGCAATGGTTCTTAACCTAGTTTGGCCTACAGACCTCTCTGAGAATTCAAGGAAGGCTATGGACCCTTTCCCTGAAAACAAATGAACTGTGAGTAAATACATACAAGTACCTTTGCACTCATTTTCCTGGAATGCAGAGACTCCAAACTTGAACCCTGAATGAGGGAAAATGCTTGCCTCCCACCCTTTGCAAACTAATCGCATCCCTCCACTTAGCATGGGAAATCCTGGGAGACAGGGAATGGACTTGGCTGGTGTCCAAGTGCCTATGACTCACTCTCCCTTCTTTTACTTTTTCTCCACCTTCTTCCAACAAGCACCAGGGAGGAGCTTTACCATGGGATTTGGGGATCCAACCTGAAAATGCGCTTTTTGTCAAAGCAATGCCTTGGTGAGCCAGAGTTTCGTTGGTGAAACAGAAACACCCAGAAGGTCAACAGTTTGATGCTGCTCTCTCTGTCTGGAGCCTGGCCGCTCTGTGAAGCTCCCGTTTGATCTCCTTATCTGCGTGCAGGTGTCGGTTTCTCCAGCCGCCTAACCTGGCAGCCGCCTGACAGGAGCCCTGGCAGGGCAGTCTTTTCATTCTTGGGCCATTTAACTCACAGACACTCTTCTTAGAGAACCTGCATGCATTGCTGCCAAAGACATCTTCAGGGCACGATTGTGTCCTCCGCTCGCGCCCAGGAGCTCTGGATGGCATTTTGGGAAAAAGCAGCTATTGACAGGCTATGGCGGCTTGGCCACAGGGGAGGAAGTCTGCTCCCCTCTGGGGGCTGGCCTGGTGCTCACTCACGGGAGGGGCTCTGCTCTTGGAGAAGGGATGTGGGGGAGAAAAGGACACACAGGAGCCAGCGACACCGACTAGCAGCTCAGCCAAATCTGCCCCTGAATTCATTCCGACGCCTCCCAGGGAGCCGTGTTCTGTTTCTAAATGCTGTGACTCGGAAGGGCTTGGCAGGAATGGAGGAGGCCCATTTTCTAAATTCTCACTCGATTGGCACCTGTGTAGACAATGGGATAAACCTCTCTGGCAGCCAAGTTTCAAAGGCGTAATTGTCTACATCTGTGTGAATTCCAGAACCCAGTGGTGCCAGAGAGGAAATGCTGAGCGTTCAACGCAGGCTCCAGTCTTGGCCACCAGATGAATGAATATCAGGCACTCCTCGTTTGCTTCTCTCCCTTTTCTTTTTCTTTCCAACTCTTCAGCACACATTGACATCCTCTCCTCTTGCTCACAAATTCAACTCCATCATAATAAACAGGTGGAAAAAATTCCAATAGAACTGATTCTAATACATGTTTACTCACCTGAATAAAGTGTTAAAAAGATGTAGACCAGAACATTTAGAAACGATGTGTACTTTTTCAATGCAGGTTTGCTATCTGTGGCTGAAGGGAGAACAGTTCACAGACACACACACACACACACACACACACACGCACGCACACGCACACACACACACACACGTCCAGGACACAGAGCTGACTGGATCTGTGACAGGATAGATCCTTTTCAGCCTTTATTTCTTTGATCAGGACTTGGCATCATTAAAACTGTGTCTCTCTTGAGAGAGACTGAACATGATTGGGAAGTAAGGTAGTGCTTCACTAGGAATGGGAGGGAAGTGGGAGACAAATGGGGGGAAAAGGAGTCAGGATGTGTGGCAGGATTACAGAGATAATCTCCTTTGGTGAGGATTAGGAGAAGGCCTGGCAGAGGGCAAAGGATTTCTTAGGTATGCAAGAGAAGTCAGGCTCAGCTTAAACACTGTGGTTATTTTTTTTTTTTGGTTGTTTTTTTTTCTCCCCAACACAGGAGGTTTTCTGAAAGAGGTACAAGAGAAGGGCTATCTATAATAATAAAACCGTAATATGCTAATTAGACCAGATGTGATTCCAGACATGATTCTGGGTGTCCTTCCGGACAAAGCCAGGGCCGGAGGGAAGCCCGGGTCCCGGGTGCCAGAGGGAAGCCGGTGCCAGCAGCCAGGGGAAGGAAGGCCTACTCTTGCAGAAATTTTGTGCATTGGCCACTAGTGTGATATAAATGTCAAGGTAGCTAGTAGGTGATAGGTAATTCAATTCGTTGTTAGAAAGATAAGCCTCTGTTTAACAAATGAGAGAGCATTGTTTGCTAATTTCCCAATAGCCTTGGGGTCTTTTAAAAAAGTCTTTATTGATTTTGGAGAGATGAAGGGAGAGGGAGAGAGTTAGAAGCATCAATGATGAGAGAGAATCATCGAGGGGCTGCCTCCTGCAAGCTCCCTACTGGGAATCGAACCACAACCTCCTTGTTCATTGGGTTGTTGCTCAACCACTGAGCCACACTGGCTGAACCCTTGGGGTCTTTTAACTCAGAAGTAGTGGGTTCATGATACATTCAACAAATATTTATTATGTATTTGCTATGTCCTAGGCACTATGCTAGGTACTGGGTAGACAGTGAAAAAGAAAGAATTGGTCTCTTGTGTAAGCTTTGGTTCAGAGAGGATATTCGAGAGGGGAAGGAAGGTTTGAGGCTCCTAATATTTCTGGCCATGAATTTTTAATGCTGCAAAAGGAACCAAGATGCTTCCCTTCTATGGACTGAAGTTGATTTCCGAATGCGCATCGATGTGCAGAGCTAGACAGAAAGATGTGAGTGTAGCAGGGAGAGAGAACTGAGTGGGGACCAGGCTCCAGTGAGTTTCCCTGTAATCTGAGCCATGCACTCCCTTTCAAAGCTCAGTTTGTCCATTGATAAGAAGTCCACACTTAAGGAGTGCTCCTGAACAAAAGGCACTTTGAGATGGACGGATGGAGCTTCAAAGACAAGGAAAAAGCGCTTCAGCTCTTAAGGAGCCCGGAGTCCTAGTGGGGGGACACCACTCGGGAGGCATTTTCTTAGCTTACGAAGTGCTAAGTGCTAGGTGAGAACTGAAGATGAAATGATCAGTTCTGAGTGAGTCAGCTTGGAACACTTTGTAGAACTGATGACTTTGGAAGGGGCTCTGGAGGACGAGTAGAATTGAGTCTAGAGAGTGAAATGACAGAACGACATGGCAGCATTAGGGGTCCGAAATGTACCTACATATGGAGACTGGACAGTGCAAGACATTTGTTAGGGAATGGCTCAACTTGGAATGGCCCAGCATAGGGTTTATAATGAGGACAATCATGCCTTGAAGGGTGGTTGTGAAGATTAAACTGATGTATACAAAGTGCTTGCACCCTATATGGTACACTGTAGGTGGTCAGCAAATGTTAGCTATTACTTATTTGTTTGTTTGCTCATTTTTTCAGCTGA